ATAGCTATGCACAAGGCCCTGGAGAGAGTCCATATCACTTTGGAAGGGACGGAACATGCGGGGCTTGATATTGTTGTCTTCTCAGACTCAAGATCTGCTCTTGAGATCTTGGAGAAGAGACAGGGTACCACACGCCTGGTCGACGTCATTCACAACGACATATGCAGGCTTGGTGAACTAGGGTGCAAGGTCTAAATACAATGGATACCAGGGCACGTCAACATCAGTGGCAATGAGATAGCTGACACTCTGGCAAAAACCGGGGCTGCCCAGCCTCAGCCAGAAATACCAATGACTTACTTGGGAGTCAAAAACTGGCTGGCGGACCACTTCAGGCAGAAGTGGTACAGGCAATGGGCTGACAACACTACCGCCAGAGGCGTCTATTCGAATTTGCCCACTCCTAGCAAACAAGACCCATGGTGGGGGTTAGGTCGCAGATCGCAGAGTTTAGTAACGCAGATGCGCACCGAGCACTGCCCCTTGCGCACATATTTCTGGAGGTTGGATAACAACAGAGATCCTACCTGCCGGCATTGCAGCCTGGCCCCAGAGACCCTAGAATATCTGTTGACTGAATGTCCCACACTAGATCTCCCGGGGGAAGCCAGGGCGGTTGGAGGATCCTTTGTGAGGGAAATGTTGTATGGCTCAATTCAACAGATGGAGTTGATAGCCAATTTACTAGCCGGGGTCATAAGAGAGTAATCTCAGACCTTTACCAGAATATGTGCGATAGATAGTTCCTACTTTCTACTTTATTTAGTTTGAAGAAAATACATCCAAAAAGACACAAAACTTTTGTGCTAAATTTATGTGTGTACAGATAAAAATAGAGAATGCATAAAAATAAGAAAAGGGTTGACCTTAATGCCTCACATATTTAATAGCCCAAGTTGTTAGTTTTAGGCAATATCTTTTTTTACTTTTATGAAAAGGAGATTGTTCTATCCATTCAGTGACTTATTTTTTCCTCACCTTTAACCAAAAAACTCAACATATGCTTACTCAACATATTACTAATATTTTGCCTTTGAAAATCAGTGAAATTATTATATTCTTATAAAGATATTCTTAAAATATATCTAATCCAATACTTGTGCCACTTGTTTTGTTTTTACAATGAAGCCTTTGCTGAAAAAAAACAAGAAAAAAAAAAACAACACACACACAAAAACTTTAGAACTCTGCTCTAAATAGATCTAAATGTTAGTTTTGTGAAAACCAACAAGATACTAAATTAATTTTTTTTAAATTCAATGAAACACACTTTCCATGGCATATTTTAGATATTGGGATAATCTACCTTTCAAGGTATAGTTATATAGACCCTAGATAATTTATTAAAATCATTCAATAATATCTTATAATGTCTAATGCAACTCTACAGATGGAGGTCATGCAGGTGCTATTAGGTTTTTGTTGGAACAAGGGGCTGATCCCAACAGTGTTGGTCAATTCAAAAGAACTCCCCTATATAGGGCATCATTTGGTGGTCATCTAGAGGCTGTACTGGTAAGGTGAAGTAATGGTAAGAGAGCTATGAAATATCAAATTTACGATTTACATAAAAAAGCAATGGAGTCATTCATTATCTAAAAAATATGAGAAAAATCAATTTTTTTGGAAACTAACATTTCGTATCTGTCAACTTTTTTATGAAATATCTATTAATTTTTCAATGTTAAAATGATGCTCTGCAGATATTATTGGAAAATGGAGCTGATCCTAGAATTTATGCTGCAGATAACGAAAATCCTATTGAGGTAATTCATGTCTTAAAGTATCAAATTTTAACATAAATATATTTTTAAAATATATGTTAAAATTAAACAAAATTTGCAAGATAAATGTAAAATTGTAAAATATCTTATTCGATGAGGATAATTTTTAAACTACATCAAGCCTAAGCAGATGGAATCTAGTTTAATACCTTCCACTAGATAGCATCGACTCCAGCTGTAAAGGAGGTGCTAGAGAGCTGGGACATGAGCCGTACAGAAGCTGTTCTCAAAAAGATTCAAGCTGCCAAAGATAAGAGGTCGCAAGAGGATAAAGCAAGGAGAGAAGCAGAGACAAACAAGTAAAAAAAAAAAGCTAAAATTTTAAAATATCAAATTGCTTTGTATTTCCATTAATGTAACATTTTTATTGTTGATGCAAAATAAGTAACTATAATTTGTAGAGACAGCAGCAAAGTCAAGATTAAGTTGACCCAATATTTATTAAAGATCCCAAATTTGATGTTGCAGACTGGAGAATGTTGTCGCTGCTGCTGAGAAAGAGTTTGAAACAAAACAAAAACAGGTCAGAATTTTTACAATTTCAATGGTTTGACACATTTTAGCCACTTTTTAATGGATTTATTAAACTTTCTTATTTCTATCAATAGAATTAAGTATTCTGCACATAAAATAAAGCTTTTTTTTTTGGTTTGTCACTGGATTACAAAAATTATGTTTTAGCTGGAGTATGCATACTGTGAGCTGAACAAAAGAATTCATGAACATGATACGTGTATGGCACAAGGGTTTGCTAAACCTGAGTTAACTGTACAGGTAATGGGCATTCATTATAAAATCTTAACTAGCTCTACATTTGAAAGTTGTAGAGACTTGCCTAACTTCCATAAATTTTATTTCTCTTGTCATAATTTGTAAAACATTTATTTTATGTCCTTGAAAATCAATTTTTGTTATGTGTAACGTTTTACACGATTTTCCCGTGCGTGAACTTTCCTTGACCTTAAATTAGATTCTTAAGCAGACGCTCGCTTCATAAATGGGCGTGGCCTATTCGTTTGATGTATCTTGTTGACTACCGCCTTTCCAATTAAACCTTGTTAGACTGTCTCCTAGTATTTTGTAGAATGTTTGCGATTGCTCTAGAAATGTAAACAAATGCTGATTAGCTTCTGGATGGCAGGGCTTACGCGTCGGTAGACCCACCTATATAAGGGATTGACAGATACGGAGAGAAGGAGATTCAGATAGATATTATTAACTTTACGAGCCATGTATTATTCTTTGTGTATTTGTGTGCTCATATGTGTTTATTTCGCATTTCATCATTATTCATTGGCACATTATTCTAACTGTGTTAACTGTGTACCGGTACAAGATCTACCATACTGTAAGTTGAAGATTGTCATTATATTTTCTTTTCTTTTGAATTATATTAAGACTTAATAAATCTTATTAATTGTAACTGGCAACTGTTTTTGGTGTCGTATCTTTAATATTGTTGACTCTGTGGTATCGTCCTTTGTTAGGCACTGTTTACAACCAGCCAATAAAATTAAAATAGGAAATTAATTTCTCATATTAGAAGCCAGTGTGTAACAATTTTAAAATTACAATTTCACTATCTGAGCTAAGTCTGTAATTTTACATTTCTTTAAGTTTTAACATTATTATTAGGCCATACATGATCAAGAACTTGAGGTAGAAAGTGCTAAGATAGAAGTGACTACAGCCAGGGATAACCTTGCCAAGGCCAGGCTGGCCCTGAGAGAGTCCACAGCAGCCCAAGGTTTGTGCCCTTTAATTAGATCTTGATGGCAGAGTTACCTTAATTATAATATCATGTCATGCACTTACCAACAGATACAAGGATTCTCCTTTTTATTACCACCTTGAACTTTTTTGAAAAAAAAACGGATTACCTTTTTTTTTTGTTTTGTTTTGAGAGAGAACCAAACATCTTTTGACACAGAGATTACCAGCTGTTTCATTTTATAGGTGAAGATGTGGAAGACACATTACCTGGTCTCAAGATTACGATAAAGGATATGGAGGATGTTTTATTCCGAGATGTTGGAAACAGACTTAATGATTCTGGAAAGTTAGTGAATGCCATCTTATTATTTACTTCAAATATTCATCCATAATTTTCTACATTTATAATTTTATTGAGCAAAGCAATGTGTAGAAAAAACAAGTGGAGCAAATCAAGTAACCTGATCAAATAAATAAAGCAACTCTGTTATTTCCACCAGGTGGCCCCTACTTATTGATGTCAGTGGCCAGGCTTCCACTTTTCTGCGATACAGAGACACAAACTGTATTTGTGCTTTACGGCCATCTGACATGGATGATAATAATGTCCGGAGATGTTTGCTTGGGGCCATAAGGTTTAATTATAACTTTATGTATTTCATAACAAATCATATTAAACTGACATAAAACAATATAAAACAGAAAGTGTACTGGCTTATTTGTGACCTCAGCATTTTGGCCAAGTAATGAAAACAGAAATGTAGTACATATGTTGAATATTCCCCAAGTAATGTCATACAACAATTTTACTTGTGTATTTGTGACTTACTTAATGTCAGAAATGTCCTGTCCATTAATCACTTACTGGTCTTCCAACTTTTTCTTTGTGACAATTTACTCTATCAACTGTATATAGTTTCAGATGTGTTGTACATGTAAACATCCATGATAAGTTGCTATGAGTTTTTGATAATGTTTTAAAAACTATTTGTGACAAAATAATAAGTACCTGTATTTACTTTAATCATTTAAAAATAATGAAGTATAATTGGAAGAAAATATAATTATTTTTAAATAATTAAAGTAAATACTTATTATTTTGTCACAAATAAGTATAATTAGAAGAAAATATATATGCACATATATTTTAAAGTATAATTTCAACACCTCTATAAGCCCGTTCCAGTTTTTGAGTGACATAATTAGAATTAGCCTTACTTTGTGACTGTTTAAATGCTCCCATGATAATTATGTATTTAGGTATGGCAAGCCATTGGTCCTAGATATGATGGAGGTGGACATGTTTGACACATGTGTTGATCGTTTTGACAACATCATGAAAGGGTTGATGAAAAGCATCCTGGACAAATCTATTTTAAAAGAAGAAAAGTAAGTTGATGTAACAAGGAACGTTCATTCAGTTAGAACAATGAGAGTGGGCTAGAATTAAAACCAAGTGGACACTGTAAGTCTTTTCGATTAAATTTTTTAGAATCAAAGATTTGTTTCGTCATTTTATAACTTAACTGACTGAAACAGGAAACACATCGGAAGACAATCTTTTCTTTTCTGTTCTATGTTTTATTAAAAAAAACAACTAACGTATACCTACTTGGAATTATTCTATGTTATAATTGGATGAATTAAAAATAATGATCATTTTGATGTGTTTATACCCTCTTGAGATGGCTGGGCTGATCTAATGGCCCAGAGTGTTATGGCGAAAAAGACTAAAGGGCGCGATATATCTGCCGAAAAATAAAAGCTTCCAGATTGGCTGGCTGGGCTTTGTACCAGCTAATCAAATTGTTTCTGGCATTGCTTACTCATCTCACCCTTTTGATGGGTCATTTTATTTCAATATTTTTGTATTAAGTGTCCCCTACAAAAGCTTTAAAAAAATGTGACCTTGAGAAATGCCAAAAGGAACTACAACCCCATTTTAAAAAGGGCTCTGTCTTTTTGGCTCTGACAGTCTAAGGAGGCACTGTCTCAAAGAGAGTTTAAAGTTTTATGCAGAGTCACGTTAAACACATCTGAAATGTAGTTTATTTAAAATACTCTTTTGCAGATACAGCAAACTCATCAAAACTTCAGATGGACCGGAATACGAAAAAACTAAATTTAATCAAATCCGTATTGGTAATTTCATGTTCATCTTGGTAACTAAAAACCCATTTCCCAGTGAAAAATTGCTGGAATTAATGTATGTGATTCGAGTTGTCATTGCTGGGTAGACATTGGGTTAAACTATTATTTTTGTAATTTAAATGATGAATTTATGGCGAAGTGTTCAAATTGCTTGTAAACTTTTCTGTTTGCGTTATAAAATGTTTTTAAGTTGATGCAAGGAAAAAGATTTTACTTAAAATTTAGCCAGATTTGTCATAATTATTTTAAATCAATATGTAGAGAAAATTATTTTACAAGAGAATTCTGGTTTGTTGTTTTGAACTTTTTTCAAAATTAAGCTTTCTTGGCAGACGAATGTTTGTCAATGAAATCTTATGTTCATATTAATCAAATTTGGAATACAATTAGACCCAAATTCTTTCTGCCCTTTTTTAAAATGATTTTATTCTCCACTGATCTCCCCTCATCCACAACTTATCTCCCCTCGTCAACTTTTCTTCCCTATCCACCACTTGTCTCCCATAATCCAGCTCTTGTCTCCCCCTCATCCACCACTGACCTGCACACACTTCCAGCCCCCACCATCTCACAGGGGAGTCAGATAAATATTGCAAGTATGAATGGTTAATTTGTAAAGGTCATTTTTTAAAGTGTTACTACTAGTTTTATTTTGAACTTTCAGCCAAGTTTAGATGAGTCAGTGAGAGAGATTGAGGAATATCAGGAAGATATATATATTTTTGTAACAATCTGTGTTTTGTTTGAGTTCATTTTCTTATATTAAGTTTTATACTATATGAACTCTAAGTTTACTTTAAAAAATATTTAATGCGTAAGCTTAAGGCATTTAAAAAAGGGACTGACAGTGTAAAATAGTTATTATTGAAAAGTTAGAGATAAAGTAAGGTGGCTACTGGCAATGGACTGACAGTGTCAAACAGTTATCATTGAAAAAATAGAGATAAAGTAAGGTTGGCTACTGGGAATGGACTGACAGTGTCAAACAGTTATCATTGAAAAGTTAGAGATAAAGTAAGGTTGGCTACTGGGAAGTGGCTTGACTCTGTATTTCCAAAAAACCATTGTAACAGATCTCTTATGGAACTGTTGACAAAAAAGTTTTACATCTAATGGAGTGGTTCCTAAGTTACTTAATACACAGAGGAAGAAGGCAAGAGGACAGTAATTTTAGAAACATGTTACACACACAGGATTCCTTCACTATAGTAATTGTTAATTAAATATGTTTGATAATTACCAGACCCTCTCCACCAACACACCACATAATATTATTGTGTTATAGTCCAATATTTGAGCACATAATTTTTTTCCAAATATTTATGACAATTAATTAGACTTTAGAAAGCTTTTTGAACTGTTATTTAATCTTTTGAAACGATACTCATTTTAATAATTTTTATTACTCTTGATATCAAATGTTTCACAGTTATATTGAAAGCTTAAGAAATAATTGATAACCAATTCAAGGAGTTTTTATTTTTTTTATTTATTGACATATAAACTACATTTACATTAATTTTAAGACCAAATTCACAGCCATCCAATAATGTTTTCATTCTTCTACTTGCAATTAGAAAGGGAAATCAGTTCAAACCATTTTACAATAATAGGTGGTAGTTGTAGAACTTCGAGTGAATAAAAAAAAAATTAATGTGTCAAACTCATAAACAATTACTCTCTACAGAATAATCCGTTCATTCAAAAAAGGAATTAGAAAAACTGATTGAAAATATTTATCCAGAATAAATTATTATTATCAGACACTTCTGATGAGATCACTCTTCATCCACGTTATAAAGTGTTGGATTTATAAAGCTTAACATTTTTTATTGGCCTCTTAAAATCAAATACTGATTAGCTGGTTTAGGTCCATAATGAAAAAAATAAATAAATACACAGTACCGGTATGAAATAGAAGTATAGTTTCAATAGATTATTTGTTTTAAGAAGCATTTTGATTATTGTACATAAATATCATAAATCTTTTGTAAATCAAACATTTAATTTGAATTTAATAAAAGCATATCAAATAGAGAAAGAGAAAACGGCCACACAAATATAAGAAAACAAAACAAGCTGTGAGACTTTTTTAAGATGACTATTGGCTTGTAACCAAACATTTGTAACTCTGATATCAAAAAACAAAATGTTCAAGTAGACCTTGTGTTTTTATAAAATGAGTCATTAAATTTTCTCATGGTTAAAACTACAAACGGGCTGTGATGAACTTGGGTGCATAACAACGCATGACATCTTCTTTATGATGATGCACAGCAACTTTTTTTACTAACTCTTCTTTCAAAATTAATGATTAATAATAGGTCACAATAAAATATAAAGTTATGTTATGTTGGGTGGCCGAGCGGTCTAAACTGTCTCAAACCAAATAGCTGGTGGTCTGGAGTTCAATCCCCACTAATGCCAACATCCCAAGCACCCCGGGTGGCTGGGACTCGATAGCCTTGGACGGCAACCCATCTAAGAGAAGGCAAACTCTGAATTTAAACCAGGAGCCAGAATGATCAGCAAATTGATCGTGAGCCCCTCATATATAAGAAGAAGAAGATGTAAACGAGTGTGTCCTAAAACTGAATTCTATTAAAAAATTATTTTTAAAAATAAGTTAATTAATTATAAATTAAATCCCTTTTCAAAATTCAGTATCTGCGAATGAAACATTAAATTTAAAATGTAAAAACATGTAAGTTGCCAATATTTATATGCCTCGCCTACAGAGGCAATGATAGAGGACCTATTTCTAAAGGCAACAGAGTGTTGTTGTGTAGAGAACAAACATTTCTGAGTTTGACTAGATAATCTCTTTGAATAACCTAAGCAACAGATATTGCATTATTTCATCTTGAAATATTTCATCAAATTTTTAAAAAAATATGTCTGACAAAATTATTTCAGAGAACCTGATTATGGTATAGTTTATTTTGTATTAGTCTTAACAATAAAATTGATTACAGTAACATTTATTATTAAAATTAGTATATGATCAAACAAAGAATATGTAAGTTAACAATTGTTGACTTTCTCCAAACATCATGAAAATAAATAATCTCATAGATAATTTACATAAAAAATACAAGTTCTTAAACATAAATAAGTTAGACAATTTATACTTATTATAGAAAAAGAAATATATTTTAAATTTTATAAGAATTATTTAAAAAATAAATTCGAAATGAAAAAAATAAACAATTAAAAAACTGACCCCAATTCAAAGATAAATTTAGCATCACAAATGAATTCAAATAGTGAAGCACGTTAAATTGAATGGCCAATAATTTTACTTATTAAAACCAAATAAACTACTTGGTTGACATATTTTCCTTTTCTGTAAATAATGTCCATCTGCTGGACACACAAATGCTTTCAACTTACAGAAGATGCTGTTGACTTGAGTTTATGCTCTTCATGAAAAGTTAGCTATAATTAAAATAACTGAATAAATATGAACACAACAGAAGTGAGTAACAAGGCCCTAACTGATCATGTGATTAGGAATGATAATTTCCTGGATATGGATATTAACAATGTTTCAAGTAAGGGAGTGGACTGTAAGGGCAAGAAGATCAAAGGTCAAGAGGGTGAAAAAGAGAAAAATTGTAAAAAAAATTCATAGAATGGAAACAGACTAAATGAACATACAAAAATGAACACTTACCATCATTATATTAAAAGAAGCAATCATATCACAATCCTGGTGAACACTCAACACTAACTGACTGATGGTCTCTATACAATCATTCCATATAACTAGCACTCATATGTAGTATCTAAACATTGTTTACTATTTGAAGTTGACATCTACAGCTTGCTAGCATCTTCTAGTCATCAAGTTACCCCAGACTTCTGAACCGTAACACAGAAAATATTTCAAGAGAGAGAAATTTTATTTTAGTTGCTAGCACAATGGTTCATCAATGATTTAGGAGGTGAGGAGGAATGTGGAGTTCTACACAAAGAAAGATGAAAAAAGGTTCAGAACCCTTTTTATAGTTAAAGGATATTTTAGAGACTGCGTTCAAGGCTTGTTTCGTTAGCAAGCTCCATTGTAAAATGATAACCTGTTCTTAATATTTTAAAGATAAAGCACCTTAGCAGAGAATTTATTACTGTAAAAATACATATAAAAATCCAAGCCAGTATGAAACAAAAGGATCTGCTCAACCAATATATATATATTACAACTAATATGATAATGTAGCTCTCTTTGCAGACCCTGAGATG